AACGTCATGAAACTGTCTAAATATAAATCTGTCAATCAAAAATCTAAACTCTGAATATCTAAAATGCAAAAACGTGTACATAGGGTAACCACAATGACTTGCTTTAGTATTAGATGTAATTAATCCATCAAAAGATGATTTTAATTTTTAAAACTACATTTAAGACATAGAAAAGCAATACTCATACTAATATGGGGAACAGCCTATCAGGATCACAAATATTATTATCATTTATTTTTGAATAATACACGCAAGATATATAGCGCGTCGCGGGCCGTTGCCATGGATACAGCTGCAGGATTCGAACCTCAACTGTAGCGAAAAACACTGTGGAGACATTTACCGGCGCAGACATTGACAGAGATTGAGAAAGACAGCATTTGAGCGAAACAACATCGACAAGAAGAAGATCCAGACTGGTAAGGTAGAGCGGGATTCCCTGTGATCAGCAAAAGGTACAGTGATCAGCTCTGAAACCGCCTCGCTTCGCTGGGATCAGCTCTACAAACGGGTTTGGTTCCTACCGCCTGCCTGGTGTCCGTCTTCGTTATTTTGCTCTTTTTTTAAAATGCAGTGTAAAGAGTAAAGTGTTTAAAGGTTTTACTAAACAGATATTAGTTGTCATTGATCTTTTCATCTAAATCGAGTGTTTAATTTAAAAATTACTCCGCTTATACAGTTCTGTGACAGTTTTCATGTCATTTTTCTTTTACTTCAAGGAAGACCACCAGAAAGAAGACAGCTAACCATTCTTTCACAACAAGCTCCTTGCAGTTAAAGTAAGCTTTCAGCAATGTGTTCTTTACGTAATGCCATAATATTCATCTGAAGTTTTAGCTTAATTAGCGCGAAATTCGAGGTTTACTACGTATCTTGCTGCGCCATAGTATTATGCTTAGTCAGCGCGGGAAAAACCCCCAACATATTTGTCTCATATATAAATACAAACATTTTTAATAGGGGATGTTAGCCAGTTTTTTTTTTTTTATATATATATTCCCTCCTCCACCCCCCCTCTGCGGGGGACTACTTTATCTGTATCTATCTATCTATTTATTTATTTATTTATTTTATTATTATTATTATTTTATTATTTATTTATTTATTTATTTATTATTTTATATTTTTATTTATTTCCTCAAAAGAAGGAGAGGGAGGGAGGGGACAAAGGAGAAGGAGGGAAGAGAGAGAGAGGGAGAGAGAGGAATGGAAAGAAAACAGAAAAAAAAACAAAANTGCCGCTACTCAGCCTGGTTACTGGTTCTTGTGGCAGTGGCAATCAATGAGATTAAAAAGACTGAACCGTTTTTAATGATTTGAAATGTCTTGATTTTTCCCCATTGCTGTCATATTCATTGCTATAACATGTGTCCAAACAGTGTTTTACCCAGGTTTACAACTTTTGGGGGGGCAGACAAACACCGACAGGATTCATGGTGTTCATGCGTTTCTTTTAATGACAGAAGTCAATATAACAACTGAACTAAACATCAAAACATTTCTTTTTTATGACAACTATCCGCAAAGTGTGCAGCTTTTGTTACTGCAGTGTATCTTTGTGGGCTTCTGGAAGAACATTTCTAGAGCCTCTAGATAAGGGAAGTCAAAAACATCTGACCCATTTATTGAGATCCGCATGCAGGCTGCTAGATGGTCTCCCTGCAGCCTATTGCGGATGTTTGTCTTGACCTGCAAATACATTAACTGTTAGACTTTAAAAGTGATAGCTGATAGCTTAAAATAGTAATAGTTTAAAGTAGAAATCCCATTGTGAAACAAATGTATTGCCCTGTTCATGGTTGAGAAGTCCCTCTCACAGTTTACACTGCTGACCGGGTCGTTGACGTGACATATTTTCCGATGCACTCTCTCTCTCAGGTGGTGGGAGTCTGCTCACCTGTGTGTATATGCACGTATCTGTACGCGCACATTGGGGCGGAACTCCGCCATGCGTGATACAGAGAGCAGAGGAGAATTATAAACACGCGTCTTTCTGAAGTAAATAAAAATGCAAGCCACTATACATAAAATCCGTTTAACGCAGTTTCGTTAAGTATATCTCAACTTTCAAGAGTGGCTCAATGGGGCCATCCTGCAGTATATACAAAGGAAGATGAAGCCAGGTCACGTTGTTGAAGACCAGAGACACCGTGGATGAAACTGCTTCAATCTTCAGAGGAGTCTGCAAGCATGAAGCTGCTATTTTAAGACTACTTTAAGGGATCATTTCTGTAGTTTCTGATTGGAGAAATGCATTATGAAAGTGTTTGGTCATGCTGGCCATGATGAGGAAGTATGGCATTCTCTTCTGAGCATGAAGCAGTTAAAGAACATGGGAATTTTTCCATGGTTCTGTGTCTTTGATGATTGTACCAGAATCTCTATGGAGAAGCTGGTAGAAGAGAATGCTGTCTGAGGGGTTAGTACTTTCACTTTAGTTCTAGAGTGCATGGCTTTTTCTTGTTCACTATTCATGAGGAAGCGTGCCAGCGTGCCAAAGAGTAAAAAAATTATCCAAACGCCTTGTAATAGAATGTGGAAAGACATTACATGCATCCGCTAACTCAGACCAAATCTTCAGGCCACCATCTTTTTTTTTCAGTTGGAAGCGTGCGCAACAGGTCATGAAGTGCCCAGTTTTACCTTTTACATTTCCTTGAGATCTCTACGGTGTCATACGAGTCTTTTTCACCCCAGTCTGCAGTCACGTTTGTTTTTAAATTTCAGCCTTAATCATAGTACAGCCTCTTCGGGACACCATACTTCATAAACCACTCTTAGACTTTTGCAGTGGTGTCTGCCTTCCGATCCTAAGTCAAGTAAGCCTGAATGAATTTTCTATACATATTAGTCACTACTTGTACATTTTCTCAACCATCAGAAGCTGGTTGCAGCACTGTAAAATCCACTGCCACCACTTCAAGTGTTTTATTTAGATTTGAATGCAAAAAATGTCATGTCCAAAAGTATTAATGCCCTTCTCAATAGCCTTTATTGGATTTTACAGCATAAGAACATAAGAAATTTACAAATGAGAGGAGGCCCATCAAGCACGTTTGGGGAGAACCTAACTAATAGCTCAGAGTTGTTAAAACCTTATCTAGCTCTGATATAAAGGAACCCAGGGTTTTAGCTTGCACTACACTAGCAGGAAGACTATTCCATACTCTAAGTACACGCCATGTAAAGAAGTGCTTCTTCAAATTCATTTTAAAATGTTCTCCCACTAATTTCCACTTATAGCCACGAGTTCTAGTATTTAAACTAATAATGAAACAGCCATTTGGCTGAACAGCATCCAGACCTGTTAGAATCTTATGAACCTGGATCATGTCCCCTCTTAGTCTCCTTTGCTCGAGGCTAAACAGATTCAGCTCAGCTAACCTCTCCTCATGAGACATTCCTCTAAGACCAGGAATCATTCTCGTAGCCCTGCGTTGCACCTTTTCCAAGGCAGGAATATCCTTCTTAAGGTATGGTGACCAAACCTGCACATAATATTCATGGTGGGCTCTTACCAAGGAATTGTATAATCATAGCATCACTTCCCTTGACCTAAACTCCACACACCTAGAGCTATAACCCAACATCCTAGTAGGCCTTTTACAGTGCCCACTTTTAATATTAATTGAGGCTTTCCGTCTCTCTCCACCTATATTCTTCACTAACCAAATTTTAAATATATATTGTGTGTATACATGGTATGTGTACATATTTTATTCTCGGATTCTATTTTATGCCTTGGATTCTGTTTAATTGTAAGATTTACTATGCATTGCACTTACTATGACAATAAAATATCTTCTTGTCCTGGGTCCCGGGTCCCTGTCCCCCTCTGGTCTTGTATTCTAGCATCTGGTCTGTCGTTTTTTCCCTGGTGTGAGTTTCCCTCATCCGTCCGCCTAGTAATGATCCCCTCTCCGGCCGACCTCGCATGCCCGGAGTACATGCGCTGGGGAGGGTTCTGTGACACCCCGCAGTCCTTGTCTCTCGTTTCAGCCCCTGTGTGGACGATCCCAGGTGCCTCTCGTTTACTCCCTCATCTGTGATGTATTTAAGTGCCTCCTCATCCTGAGCTCCCCAGTCTGCTCATTATATTCTTATGTGTGTGATGTTATGTTATGTTCTTGCTGCCTACTTGTGCTCCCTGGTTTGCCCTGTGTTACAGTCTAATCATGCGTACCCTGTTTTTGGCCCCCTGTGCTCCTTTTCCTTCCACCTTACCTGCCGTTTTGTCTAAATAAAGCCCCTTTTGATTTTCCCCATCTTTGCCTTTGCTTCCTTTCTTCCCGCTATGTGACAAACTCTCTGCCGACCACAGAATTTGAATCGGTGACCTTCTGATCACGAACACAGCATCCTCACCCATTACCACAACAGAGTCTGATAACAGCGCCATCAGGCAACACATTAGCAAAAAATCTTTTTACCTCCTTTACATGCTGTTTAAAGTCTATCCAGAAATTGAATTTATAAGTTATGCAACAAATAGCAAGACTGTTGTATAATTAATACATCCAGACTCAAACCTAAGTTATAATTCATATAAAATTATTCAGTTGTTTACAGCAAACAGCAACATTTGTTATACTCAATTTTATTATTTTTAAAAGCTAAGAATTTGCATCCACTTAGAGGGCATTAACTTTACTACTAACTTTATATTTTGTGCTCAAAACGTCATGAAACTGTATAAATATAAATCTGTCAATCAAAAATCTAAACTCTGAATATCTAAAATGCAAAAACGTGTACATAGGGTAACCACAATGACTTGCTTTAGTATTAGATGTAATTATTCCATCAAAAGGTGATTTTAATTTTTAAAACTACATTTAAGACATAGAAAAGCAATACGCATTGCTAATATGGGGAACAGCCTATCAGGATCACAAATATTATTATCATTTATTTTTGAATAATACACACAAGATATATAGCGCGTCGCGGGCCGTTGCCATGGATACAGCTGCGGGATTCGAACCTGAACTGTAGCGAAAAGCACTGTGGAGACGTTTACTTGAGCAGACGTTTACAGAGATTGAGAGAGAACAGCATTTGAGCGAAATAACATCGACAAGAAGAAGATCCAGATTGGTAAGGTAGAGCGGGATTCCCTGTGATCAGCAAAAGGTACAGTAATCATCTCTGAAACCGCCTCGCTTCGCTGGGATCAACTCTACAAACGGGTTTGGTTCCTACCGCCTGCCTGGTGTCCGTCTTCGTTATTTTGCTCTTTTTTTAAAATGCAGTGTAAAGAGTAAAGTGTTTAAAGGTTTTACTAAACAGATATTAGTTGTCATTGATCTTTTCATCCAAATCGAGTGTTTAATTTAAAAATTACTCTGCTTATAAAGTTCTATCACAGTTTTCATGTCATTTTTATTTTACTTCAAGGAAGACCACCAGAAAGAAGACAGCTAACCATTCTTTCACAACAAGCTCCTTGCAGTTAAAGTAAGGTTTCAACAATGTGTTCTTTATGTAATGCCATAATATTCATCTGAAGGTTGAGCTTAATTAGCGCGAAATTCGAGGTTTACTACGTATCTTGCTGTGCCATAGTATTATGCGTAGTCAGCGCGAGAAAAAAACCCAACATATTTGTCTCATATTTAAATACAAACATTTTTAATAGGGGATGTTAGCCAGTTAGCTGCAACACGTAACTCACCTGCTTTACAACCCAAGCCGGCATTAGAACACAGGTCGGCTAACACCTTGTCAGTGCGCCCCCTAGCGGAGTTACCCCACTGCCTCCGCGCTGCTCCGCAGGGATGGTGAGGCACGCGCACTTCAGACGCCGATACCTCAGTCAGCAAGAGGCACAAGGTTCGTCCAGACAGGACAACAGCGGCAGGGAGCAGCAAGAGGAATCCCTGCCATGTTGGGGTCCCGCCATCATCATCGACCAGCAGGATATGGCTGCTTTCTTCGCACTGCTAGGTGGGTTAGATTAATTCCAGCGTGAGGAAGCGGCCATTTAAAATGATCTTTTAAACTGCTTTTTTGTAATGAAAATATAACATCAAAATAAAATGCATTTCATTACAAGAACAGTATGTGCCTGCTTTATGTATACTGGACGAATTCAAATATTGAAGAAAAAAAGTATGTAGTACTAATAATATTTCCTGATGCCCTCAGATGATGACCTGATCCAGCATTTCCTTCGCATGGATGCCTGCTACAAGATGACCGACAAGGTAACTATCATGCATTGGTTTTGCTACATTAATCACTGTAAGCAATGCAGAGACTACTTTTTCCATCCCTTTGCTCTTCACCTCAGTACCTTCTGGCGATGACCTTCATCTACTTTAAGAGAGCTTACTTCACTCCCAGTGAGCAGACAAGGATGAACTTCTTCATCGCCCTGTAAGTGACGGCATGCTATGCTGGGCAATAGAGATGGATGTTAAAATAATAACAAAAACAATTTCCTCCATCAGCGTGAGGAAAAGTCTTGGATGAAATTGTTGGAGGTCAGCCAGCCAATGGATCTTGGAATAGTGAATTCTTCCTCTCCCCAGCTATCTTGCTAACATGATGGAGGAGGAAGAAGATGGAAACAGATTCGAGATCTTCCCCTGGGCCTTGGGTGAAAACTGGAGAAGTCTGTTTCCCACCTTCATCAAGCAGAAGGACCAGCTCTGGGCACGGATGCAGTACAGGACTGCTGTGAGCCGCCGCTGCTGTGCGGAGGTACAGTATGTTGCCTGATCTTTAATACAAGTAAATGCCATTAAGCCACCATGAGGCTTGAAATATCTCAGAGCAGAGGGAAGGGTTTCTCATCATTAATGACCTTCTCTGTCTTACTGTAACTTAAGCTAAGCTAAGGGCTGTTTGCTCACTGTTGTCTTTGGGGGCAGATACCAAACAACTGTTATCATAAGTGGTGTCGCTGGTGTCGCAGTGAGTCACGTTCTGCCATCTGATCCATGTATGTCCGTGTCCCCATGCAGGTGATGGCCATCGTACCCTCCCACTCTCTGTGGAAGCGGGAGCGCCCCGAACATCACAGCGGGGCTCAGCGGCACTACGGCAGGGAGGGCTTTCTGCAGCCCCGGGGGCCATCAGCTCTACCCATCGCCTGCATGCTCTGCAGCAGGATGACCGGCCAGAACCAGGAACCCTGTACTTCTGAGCACGCAGGGAGCCCAGAGTGTAAGTATGAGCTCTAAATGCCAGTTTTTCTGTAGTTTTTAAATTTTAAATTTACATTAGTCTTCCTAGAATTGTTGTCACTGAGCACTTTTCTTAAATATTCTTAAAATATTTACCCGAACTGCACCCACTAATTTTAATGCATTGTAGACATAAACACATAACTCTCTCACACATGTACATGCACACTTCACACCAACATGGGTCGGGGAGGGGATGAGGGCTGAGGGGCCCCCCCTAACTCTCTGTCTCTGGCCCTGTGCGGGTATGGGCGGCCCCCTCTCTTGGGCCGCCGGCCGGGTGGTGCTTGGCTCTGCTGTGCCGTGGTGGGGCCCTGGCGGGCAGTCCGGGGAATCTTCGGACACTCTGGGCCCTGCTAGGCGGATTGGGGGGTTCGGTTTGGGCTGGGCGGGGTGTCTGCCGCCCCCCGGTCGCCGCGGGTTCGCTCCCGGGTGGGGGGGGGCTCTTTGTATGGGCCCCCCTTGGATCATCCTGCAGTGTCGGGGGGGAGGTGTGCCGGGTCGCTGCGGTGGGTGGCGGTCCGTCCTGCTGGGGGACGGGCTGGGGGGGCTGGGCCCCCCCGGTGTGTGGGGGGCC